CGAGAGGCGAGGCTGCTGTGTCTCCATGCCCCAGGTCCAACCAGTAGTGAGGCTGAAGTTGTATCCCCAGCAGGCATGTGCACACAACACACACATGTACATGTGCACATGTATGCGTACATACACGGCCAGCCGCACAGATCTGACGGACACACACAGCACTCCCACAAACACAAACAGCACCAACAGCCTCATCCTGCTCCCCTCACTGGCAGAGCAGCATGGAGGTCCACTAGTGGGAATATAGATGTATGTGTAGACATATATACAGTGTGGGTCCCTCCATCAGCTTGGCTTGTACACTAAGTCTGCCCAGTAGCAGCTCCTGGATCCCAGTTGCCCCACTTGCCGGTACCTGCACATACAAGCCTCCTGTTTTGACCCGTGGTGACAAGTTTCACACATGGACAGTGGGCCTGAGGCTCTCCTGGGACAGCCCTGGGAGGTAGCTGGATGTGGTGTCCTTTCCCCTGAGTCCTTAGTTTGGGTTCTCACCTTCCTTTGTGCCCCTGTGCTCCTCTGGGTTTGTGGATGTGGGCTTTTGACAGACTGATGGCTCTTGTCATAGACCTGGAAGCAGCCAGGGCCAGGATGTTATTTGGGCTCTCCCACCTGCCATTGTCTCTCTGTGCTCCTTTGTAGATGTGCAGGTGAGCTTTTATCACATGATTTAGTGTGAACAAGCTAGTTTGCACAACAGTAACGTCACAGCAGTGCTCTGATATTGTTCTGTGCTAGCTACCTTGGCTTCCAGCATGTCATCTACCTCAGCCAGCTGGGTCTGGGTATTTTTGAACCCCACTTCATCATGCTGTGCAATACTCCTTGTAAACTGCCCAAATGAGCATGCACAGACATCCCACTGTTGTTGCCTGGACAAACTTGAAGCTCTTGCGTGTTCAGAGGTGCAGGGTCACACTGCTGCACGAAGGTTAGTCTCCTGCTTCTTTGAAAGTTTTGCTCTTTGATGGTTGGTTTCAGTCTTCCTGCTGGAACCAAGTTCTTTATTAAACTGATTCTTTTATAGACCTCAAGCAGAGTCTTACCTGAGAATAGATGTAGACCTTTAAGCTTATACCTGATCTTTTCCCAAAAGATAATGTGCTGCAACGTATGCCTTTTACCTACTGCTTTCTCTCTGACATGAAGGTGCATTTCACTATGCTTGGTTATAACCAGGACTGACATTTAATTTTTTTGGCAGACTTGGAGGGTGGTAGTGCATGATAATAGAGTCTTTGGTCTTTATAATGATGTGTTCACCATTTCAAGCATTGTAATATGCACTTTGAAATCTGTGTGCTCTTGAAAGATGAGGTAACAGTGGATAGTTTTGCCTAGGCAACACCGGTTTTATTCTCTCATTCAGTAAATGACAGCATTAGAAATGGCAGCAATACAAAATCTCATTATACTCTGTTGAACTAAAAAGCAATATTTTCAGAAGAATATTTTGTGAACTATCAGGTATTACAAGGCATTTCCTAGGAGCAGAACTAGGTAGCAGGATAATACTGAAGCAGTGCGCATGTGGACATATGCCAGTGTGAACTGTTTTAACTTCGCTTTTTCCTTAGGGTTCATTTCAAACAAAGTAGGATTTTTGTGTTCAAGACAGAAAACTGTGTTTTGAACAGTTTCTTCACAAGTATTTTATTCCATCAAACAAAGGAAAAAAGCCTCCATTTTATCTTTGTCAGTCCTCTGTCATGGTAGTCCAAAACTCTTTTGGAGATTTATTGATGTAACTTTACAGTACTTTGAACCAGCAGTGGAAAATACAGCACTGTTTTGAGATGGGCAAATAGTATTGCTTTAGTTAGCATTCAGCAAGTGCTGTTTTCTGTTAAGGAATATGTCAGAATTGCAGTACAGAGAGAACAACTCTTGTGTTGATCACTGAAAGTAACGGATCATTGAACTACTGCATTAATCTGCCCCTCTGGTGTCTATATATTATAAAAATTCAGGCATGTTGCAGATTGACTGCCTACCATACAACTAGAATGTGAAAGATTTACAGGGTAAATTACTGTTGACATACACGTCACTGAGACTGAACAAGAATTGCTGTATTCAGCTTTCTGCAAACATCAGCTTTGCCTTTTCATGTCTTCATTCTTCCTGAGGCTAAAGTTCTTTACAAGGACAATGGTTTGTGTTTTGGATTATTAGGAAGCCTCAGTCATTTGAAAGGTCATATATGCAAGGAACAGCAAAATCTCTTTTTTTAATGACCTGTGTGTTGGGGTTTGTGGTGAATTGTGGGAAGCAAAATCTACAGAAACCATTAGTGGAAATGTATGTCTAAAAGAACATAACAGTGATAAGCCTATTATATTCTTTGAATCCAAGCTCCTACTGATGTGGGGTTGGGTGGGGATACATTTGACTGGCTTTCACAGTCAGTCAGTTGTTTTTTTGCACTACAGAGTCTTTTGCAAAACATAAGTCTTTGGAATTATTATCAAGGACGTGATCTCTTTTCTTGTTGCTTAAAAGTTATTTATAAGTAGAAGATAAGACATAAGCAAACCAGATAAAAAAGTCTAAGAATAAAATAAGTCACTTTGGTGATTAGAAGCATTTGAATACACAGATTCATAGTTCATAGAATGAAAAATCACATCTTCCTGTGGTAAAATGAAGGGGGTTACATTCTTAAGCAAAAAAACTCATGTAAGGCTCTGATGTGAAAGTCGGCAAAACAAGGCTGAATGAATTTTCTTTACACTGGTGTAATGATATTTCTCAAGGTTGTATTTTTTCATTCATCAATTTCTTATATTTCACCTTTGCAGAATATCCAAGTAATTCCATCTGTAAAGCTTAATATTTTTAATGTATATTTTGCTTTTGAATCATATTCAATTTCCCGATGACAGAAGGGGAACAAATTGACCCCCAACTCATAGCTTTTCAAAGCTAAGCTCTTTTACAGTCCTTAATGGACTAACATCCTCTGACGTTTGAGCTACTAGCATTTGCAAAGTTGCTATGGTGACAAATGTATTTCTGGTTAAAAAAAAAAAAAAAAAAAAAAAAAAAAAAAAAAAAAAAAAAAATCTATTTTGCTTAACCACAAATTCCAGAAGAACTCAGCATGGTTCCAAAAGAACATTTCTGCCAAAATGAATGCTCAGTGCCTTTTTTTCTGAGCAATTGTATCCTTAGTAAAATGCAAGTGTACAGGGGAGTCTGACCTCTGCTTCGGTCACAGTACCTTATGATCGCCTACTCAAATTACTATAAAACAGATTTAAAATAGCACAGTGTCCATTTCTTGAAGGAAAGATCTAGACAGACCCAAGGGAACAATCTGTAGCTAGCACAAAATGCCTGGGGCTTTCTTCAGTTTCCTTTTGGTCATTCTGATCAAGTAAAACAACCCTAAGGGCAGTGTGATCTTTCCCCTTAAATTCCTCTGCCCCGCACTGCAAACCCACCACACATGGCTCAAATGTGCTTTGACTCATGCTGGAGAGTCTGGGCCTGTGGGCATTGGCATTGGACCCAAGGTTACAAAGATAGCTGTAGCAGTTTTTGCCCATGTCCATCCCTGTGGTCTTGCAATAAACAAAGCCAGCTGGGGAGGTTTGATCATTTTTCTGTCTTTCACTAGAAATGGCTGTCAGACTACATCATGATCTTTTCTGTGCATGAAACATTTTGCAGAGAGGGATCTGAATATATAGAGATAACAGCTGTGCGATGAGAAGGCGACACTAGTGAATTTAGGACCCACACAGACCGGTTTCCAAAACACTTAGGTGACAGATTTTTGAAGCTATTTCATCTTCTCTCACCAAGACCTATGGCCCTGATACACAACAGAGCACCTTCTCGTAAATGTGTAGTTAAACAGGTTAGTTTCTATTCCAGTGTAGTTTTTCTAAGCACCCTGTATTGTCCAAGGGAGGGGGCAGGGGGGGAGACAAAGAGAGAGATGCTCTACATCTTTTTTTCTCTTCATTGATCATACGGGAACAGAAGAAATATTTATATCCTACCAAGCACTTGACTTGGAGCCTAATGCCAGACATCGTCACAAGTCCAAGGCAAAGGCTAAGTGCTTGGAGTAAGCTTGCTACACCCTGCATTACCTTCAAAGGCGGGTACTGCTCTCAGAAAGTGATAGCCAGTAGCATCACTTGTGACTGATCCTGGAGCCAGGACATGGAGCTTCCCATCATACAGAGCAGGTGTCAGTATCAACAGAGTGGTGGCAGTCAGCAACTGAGACGTGCTATGAGTGTGCTCCTAAGTTGCCCATTAGCTGCATCACACTCAAATTGCAGAAGAGAGCTTTGCAGAGTAAGCTCTTTCACCACCAGCACTCAAGATCCCATGGTGTTTCAAGGCCTCAGATACTCCGGTTCAGCTGTAGTCATGGTTAGGGCTTGTATAATGTAAATGGAAGGTAAATTGAAGTTCAAACTCAGCCTCTGTCCATGGCTTAATGCACAATGTAAATGTTGCTGTCGTCCTGGTAGGTCAAGGACATATAGTGGAACATGCTGGAGAGAAAAAACAGGAGGAAGACAGAATGGCTTTGAAGTTTTGCTGATAAATTTAGATACTGATTTTAAAAGGTGAAAGATAAGAAGTTAATAAACTGTTGATTTTGTTTCAAAGACCTGGTTTTAGATGATAAGGTTTGCATTAAAATGCAAAAATACTTTTTTTAATTGTGTGGGAGAAAGCGTCACCACTTCTTTCTAAAAATATAGGAAGAATGTCAAAGGCAGGAGAAAATATTGAAAGATGGTCTTGTTTTAACACGCAAAAGTAAAATCTGTGTTGATATTATTCCTGTGATAATAATTCCTGACAGATAATCCTTAGTTTATTTTAAGTCCAGAATTAAACAGAATCATGTTATTCTAGATGTCAAAATCAGTATTGTCTTTTTTGTCTTGTTAAAATTCTGTTTGAAATTTATCTAGGGGGAATTTGCTTTGCTTTGACTTCTCTCTCTCTCTCTGTGTCTCTCTTTTAAGGTCAACTCAAATCAAAATATACTCTTGGGATAACGCCCATTTTATTTTGGTTAGTAACAAATGTGACATGGAGGATGAACGGGTAATCTTCACTGAGAGAGGCAAACATTTAGCAGAGCAACTTGGTAAGAAAAGAAATGACAAAAGCATTATGATTGCCTGTGAGAATGCACAAAGTAATGTCATTAATTGCTGCAGTACTGGTAATGAAACGTTTGTGATACATTTACGGTAAAGGAATAGTCATACACTGCCTCCCTTTTGTTTCTGCAGGCTGAGGTCTGAACTGTCCTTGTTGATATCACTAACAATGTAACATCATTAGAATGGACATGTGTCCACGGATGACCTTACGCAGAGCTGTGACATGTCTGTCATCTAAAAGTGTCCACGAGACCAGTGCTGGCTCAGAGGCTGGCCTAGACTAAAGATATATCTGATAAAACATCCCTTATGCTGCTTCTTAGATAGGAAGTACGCTATGGCCTTTGTGATACGAAGCAAGATTAGGCGTGTCTGTATATATACAATATGTTTAGATAGTTATAGCTATAGGCAGGAAAAAATTAAAAAACACACAAACAATCCAACAAAAAAAAAAAAGGAGTGGAGAGATAGAAAAAATAGCTTACTCAAAAAAACCCTAGACCTTTTTGCAAGTTTAGAACATTTGGGTTATGATTTCTAATACCAATAATTCAAAACAGAAAGATGCCAATATCCAACTCCCACTGCTAACAGTTGACCTACTGCACATTTAAACAGGTGTAAATAACATGAACCTCTGTTTCATAAAGTCTCCCTCAGGGAGGCAAATGTTTCCCACGCAGAAAATTACAGAGCTGTGAACAACTCTGTTCTTTCTGGTTTTGCCAAGCAGTGATATCCTTTCATACCATGAAATGTTTTTGAGGTCACACTCGCCAAACTGTAATGGAAAATCTCCAAACCATCATCATAATACTACTACCCGGCCTTTTTTTTCCTTCAAATTTGCTGATCTCTGGAGAGCATGCTCAGCAGGTGTGCAAATCAAATCCTGATATCATTGGAGGTCAATTTCTTTGCTGTACCGTGCATGGGTTTGTTATTATTTTTAAAAGCTAAAGTCTCAGTCTAGTGAACACGTGTGTAACTAAGATCTCATCACTATTCCTATGTAGGTGTTTAGTGCAAAGGGTGTTATAGGCATAACTGTGTGGAAAACGGAGGGAGATGGTGGCATTTCACAGTATACCACCTGTGCTGGATCTAATCCCATGCTGGTGGTTCTTAACTTACGTATATTCACAGCTCGCTGACCTTATTTTTTTTAAATAATTTTACTAGTTGTACAATTGCTTGTCCTGGTAATTATTTTCATCAGAATAACGTATCTTCCTGTCACATTTGTCTAAATAAGCATTGCATATGTGTAAAAGCACACCTCGAAAGTGTACATAAAAATGACCATAAATTAGTCCTTCAAAGGTGACAGAAAAGATTTACCAGCAGGTTGGGTCCAGAAAAAAAGCTGACATTTGTGAAGAACTGAGTCTCTAAAACTCTTTACAACACCACCAAAACGGTTGCCATTACACCTGCTTTAACAGAGGGTATTTTTCTTGCAGAAATACCTGTGACATTGTATATATTTCTATAAAATATTGTTCCCTCTGTAAGCACTTCTAATATTTATTCATTTTGACAGAAGCTAGGAAAGTGTATTCAACGGAGAAAAACATGAAATAAAAGTAACTATACTTCTACCCCATTTTTAGCCCAGGCACTTAAATGTCTGGCAATAAACCTAAATTTGCAATGTAGAGTTTGAAGATTTTTTTTTAAGTCACATGACTAATCTGAATTTCTATTCCTGGACTATGTTCCTATAGAAAGATTAATGCAGTAAGTTGACAAGGAATCCCCAAGGTCATGAGTTTAGCAAGACAAAGGAACTTTGCATGTTGTAAAGTCAGGAATTGTCAGCTGTAATAACCAATGCTTGCAAAAAAGAAAAAAAAAGTAATGAGATAGATATCAAAACTCATGTTTCAGGCTTTAGAGCAAACTCTAACTCCTGGGATTTAGAATTCAATCTTTATGGAAGCGGATTATCCTCTATTCCCATCTTTATCTGCTCTGGGGTTTTCCTTTCTCAGATATAAGTCCTGTGGCTATCTCAAGGGCAGATTATTGTATTGGATAAATTGTGGCTCTGATCCAGTATGTCATTTACTGTACTCAGACTGCATGCACAAATGTTTATATGTTTTCTGTACAGCTGCAATCATTTCTTAAATCTGCTCAGAGGTTGTGGGAGGTGGTGTCAGGGAAAGCAGAACGAGTTTCCCTGAATTTTAGTAAGCACTCTGGCCATGTTGGACAGTTTGAAGGGCACAAGTTGTGTCAAACATTTGGGACTTTCTTTTCTGTCTCTGCCAATGAGTTGATAACATCTCTTGCGGGTAAGTTTTAAAAATAACAATATAGATTTTTGTGTCCACCAAGACATTTTAAGACTGTGGGCCCTTTGAATGCCATGATCTGCAACATTGATTACAGCCACAATTACAAGCAAGCACAACACAAGTGCTGTACAACAAACGCATTGTGAAACACACTGTTCTCAGTGTGGTTTTATTCTCAACCCTAGTTTATTTGAAGTCACTGAGAAAATGAATACATGTACATTTTGGGCTGGGTTTTCAAAAGGTCAAAAAGAGCACTGGGCATTTAACCCCCCAGGAAACACGGTGTCGTTTTGAGAACAGTGTTATCGGAAAATTGTGCCTCTTTTGTGGCTGCTAACCTCTTTGAAAAGTGTGAGCTTCAATTTTATTAACAAGGTGTAATCAATCATTTCTTTAAATCTCAGTGCTGGTTTATTTGATTGTAACCCAAACAAGTGGTTTAGATCAACCAGCAGTAGGCCTCGTTACCTGTGAAGGTCTGGCTAAACTATTCAAGTATCCTGTGGTGGTTCCGAGTACCTCCCTCATAAAACTGATGGAAGTTCACAAAGGGGAGACAAAATGGTTAAGAAAACCAGATCTGACCTTGAAGGGAAATTAACAGAATGATTATGAAGACAGGATTTGGCTCATTTCTGTTTTTGATGTTTTTAAAGTTTTTTGTTAATGACATAGGGCATGACACTGGCGATACCGTCACAGATCATAGCTGCAAGCAGATTACTACCTTACCTACAGTAATGGCCAGAAGTAGGTGCCTTGTGAAAGGTATAAAAGGGCAAAAAACAGTGATACTTTCCCTGTAGCAAAGTATGTTCATGGGTCTCATGAACCAAAGGCAGTATTCTTATATTCAATAGTCCTTTCATGATTTTTTTGCATAGACTTGTCCAATGATGTCTTTGAAATCATATAAAATCTTACCATCTATGACATCCTTTAAATATGCAGTTTATCTGAGTTATCTGCTTCTGCTTTGAATTAGCCACTTGCTAGTTTTACCTGATGTTTCTTCACTGTTATGTTCTGAGAAGCAGGGAAAAATTGTTTGCTGTTACCTGCTCTGCAACACCATTGGTTTCAGATACGTCTGTCATACCCCCTCACTATACTCCAGGCTGAATGTCCTTGTCATGGGCATTCCATGACATTCCATGTCATTGTGACATTCTTTGTCACTCTATTCAGTACTTTTTGTAAGTGGTATATCCTTTGTCCAGAAATTAGTTCATGGTTGTTTAACATATTAGCATCATTAAAAGAGTAATGTCAAAATGAGGTAAAAACAGACAGGATCAAATACATTCAGCTGAGTCACGTAACTACCTCACAGAGACATCATACCGAGAAAATATAGAAATGTGACAAACCAGCCAGTAGAAAGGACCAATTAATGTAATGTTAATATTGACATAGGAATCACAGCAAACACATTTAATCAAGTTTTCTCACTGATCACTACAAAAAAAAAAAAAGGTGTGGAACATAATTCTTATGCTATTTTGTCTCTTCATGAATGTTTGCTCTAAGCATTACATGCATTGGCTGTTGAGTGAAACCCCAATATAGTCAGCACTTACACACTTCAAAGCATTTTAGTAAAAAAGGCTTGAAACTTCTTGCAAGCAAAATGTATGCAGACTCACCAGCTGCCTTACTCATACAGCTGTTCTGACATATTCATCTCATGCATTTCTGCTGAGTTCAAAGCTTCATATGTTCATAAAAGTTTGGTGTCACTTGTCAGAAGAGAAACTAAAAAAAATGACTCACAGATGGCATGAATTTCTTGGTTTCTTTTATTTGTGGTCTGTATGATGTATTGTGATCTACATTCTGACAAAGGGTTAGCGGGCCGAGGTGTGCACAGAGCTTTGAATAGACTGAGTAACTGCACTTTCAAATGGACAGTTGCATATGTAGTTTGACATGCAGTTTCTCCATTCATTTATGACATTTTGCTGTGCATACAAATAAGGTACACGGTTTTATTTCTTCAGTTGCTCATGTGCTTCTGTACAACTCCTATTTGCTATGTGTGTGCTACAATTTATTTCAACACTCATTAGTTTTTAATTGCAAGTACTACCGTTACAGAGTAATTTCTATCTTCAAGACCAGCTCTCCCCTCAAGGTTTTTGCAAAAGCATAATCCTGCCATAGGTCCAAATAGTGCCTGTTGTTCTCATGCTGCACCAGGTACTAGGTCAATACTGCAAGTTCTGCTGCAAACATCTGTCCACCTTTTCTGTAAGATCCTGTTTGTTCTGTCCCACTTTCTTGGCTCAGGTTGGTTAAGGCTCTGGGAAGCAGAGCTGTTGTATTCTAGAAATGTTGGCTGGAAGGGACCTCTGGTGATCTTCTAGTCTGATGTCCTGCTAAAATCTGCCTCTGGCTCTATGTTCTGTCCAGCAGTTTTCAGGGTAGTGCCCTTCCCATCAGATTTTTGGTGCCTCCACATTTCTTACACTCTGCCACCTGGGGTCATGTGTGGCTGGGGGCATCCAGCACATCTGAGCGTGCCTTAGGGTGCACCCACCTGCTTTCTAAACATATCCTGGCACACTGTCTCTCCCAGAGGACACCAACCAACGTCAGAAAACAAAATGAAACAGGCCCTTTCTGGGTGAGCTCCCACAGTCCCTTCTGCAAGGGCCAACAGAAGCCAGCCC